CTGGATGGACGTCGAATACGTATTGGACGCTAGTGAACATCTCATTAAATTGGAAGATGCTGAAGTGTGTGACTGTTAATTTTGGTTTGACCAAATCACTGCGAAGTTTCCACTTTAGTGTTCTAGTTTATAACTTTAATGAAATCAATAATTTTTGTGGTTTAGATTCAGATAAGCCTTCCGTTCATATGGACTATATTATCAAACATATATATTGTGCATATTATTATGCATACACAAGTAGGAATGCAAATCCATTTACCTGCATGCAAAATCGTAAAAGCAATACATGTATGGGTCTTTTTATAGAAGCATCTGAGTGGTGGTCGGGCGAGAAAAGTTGTCGTTGTGGGAGACACGGTGGATATCCCGATCATATTTTATCCAATTAGTTACCGGAAATACCAGAGAGGCTGCAGCATTATTTCCGCAGGGAGTGCCGATGCCTTGGCATTTGCCACATTATTATACCTACTCGAAAAAGAATTTGGGATAATTGAAGGAATGGCTACTCTAGTGACTGGATATTCATCTAATCAACGCATTGTCGACGGACCAAATAGTAATGTAGGTTTTTGGCCGCGAATATGAGCTATGCCTGTATTTTCGAGAGCGGGGTCTATGTTTAGATAAGATAACAATATTGCCTTTATTAATCTCGACGTTGGGTAGTTTCCTCAAAACAAAAACGTCTGTGTTTTTCAGTGGCAAAAATAGTTACTTTTCTATTCCGGAAATAAGGCAATTTATGCTGCTATTTATCCAAGCATCGAACTTGTAAACTTAGCTAACTTTATTTTTTAACAAACACATTCACACACCTCATTTTTCTTTTATTGACGCTTCTAAAGCTTTGGTTACTTTGTTACGAATTATACAAATTAACTCGTGTATTTATTTGTAAAGGAATGGCGTTTAGGCCGGGGAGCAGCGCAATCAATTATTCCCTACAATTTAAATAGGGTTCTTCATACGATTTCGCAGTCGATGCCCGATATGGCTGAAAAGATCTCGATTACTGGTTGCTCTGTGCCGGTAGACTCAGGCAGTGCCATCGACTTTACCTGCCGCCTTTCTCGCCCTGTTGCGAGCGTCAGCGAACTGGCGGATATCCTTAGAGAGAGTAACACTCTCAAGACCCTCGAGGTCATTCATACGAAGTGTCAACCTGGGTGGCTGCTCTCACAGTGGTGCCCCGAAATTCCTGAACTAAATAAATCTGACCTTCCTGAGGTAGACTGCACAGCGGACCCCAACACGATCAAGCGTTTTAATGCGCAGAAAATCCTTGATTCAACAGCGGAGGAGGAGGTTTGCCTTGAGGCAAAAAGAGAGACGAAGATCAGTAGACTCACTGCGCCGGAACCGTTACCACAGAAATCCGTAGGGCTGGCCTCAGGAGTCGTGCATTTTTGGCAGAACGAGGATAACCGTTGTGTGGGAAGAGACATTCTGTCCTCAGACTGTATGATGACATTAGACGTGCACTCTTGCTTGTTGATTCCGGATGGTTCTCTCATAAAACTGATTGCATGGTGAGTAATGTTTTGCAAAAATTTTTAGTTCCCAGTTATCAGAGTCGAAAGGATATAAGGCTCGGAATCTGTTGTTGTATTAGTAGAAAGAATAAAGTTTAGTTACCAACCTTTGAAAATTGTAAGCGAAATTTAAAGTCTTATCTTCCTGCATTCTTAATCAAGGTACGATCGTGATATGTCTTTCTGCAAACGGATTCTGGACCTACTCGTTTACATGCGTCACGTGGACCATAGTTAATAGAACAAAAGCACAACTTGTATCTACCTGTTCTCTACTCACATTTCCAACGCTTGAGGACAGCACCGTTTTAAGATCAATTACAGGTTGCTATAGTATTAAAGACGTTTACATTATTAGATTTTTTTATTCTTTTCGCTACCGTATGACCTCGAGAGGGTCACTGACCTGCAGCAAATACTTCAGAAATATGGCACAATTTATTGTACAGCAGCTAATTTGAATCGTTCTTACTTATTTGGCGAGGTAAATTCAAGCTACTTTGCCTACATCATTGTCACGCTTCATTGATAACGAAGTTATGCGCCTTTGAAGGCGTCGGCAGTACTTTTAAAGTAGGGCTGACTGTAATCACAGAAATCATTGAGGACGCAAATCTCTTGGACCGGTTTACGTTTTGGTATGTTTTTTTAAGCAAATGTAGATAGGTAGTGCGTTAAAGGTAAAAGGTGCAAAAGTCGAGCGTACGGAGCTCTCTTTCTTTTTCCTTCCCATGCGTTGTGCACATTGTGAAAAACGCAAGAGAAATTATCGAACACTAGTTTGTGATCCGTGAAGCGTACGGAAGTTCTTGTACCACATCCATCGGATGCATACGATTCAGATGCACGTTGAAATAGGTCCTGAGAGCTGCAGAAGGAATCCAGGGTGAATTAGTGGCACAAGATGCAGAAGAATGGAGTGATTGCTAACCTAAGCAACACCAAACCTGTCGATACTGACTGTATCCACCATACCGTTGTAGTCAATGCCAGCTCTAACAAGCACTAAGGGATGGGGTAGACTTACGAGGGCCCAATAAATGTACATGGAGGGGTAAGGGTTAGTTGGCGCATGGGATAAAATGTGTAAAATTTCAACTTCATTGGTGGTAGAAACCTGGATGAATTTTTCACCGGTGCAGCAGAGCTTGGTACCAGGCACCATCTCAGGAGGTGAACGGGCTACATTCTACCTCACCATAAGTGTAAAAGTAAGTTTATTAAAAGGAGGAATGTAATCACCCCACTCTCCACATGGATGTTTCAAAACCATGCAATGGGCAAAAAAATTGTAAAGGTACACGTTACTTAGTTCAGTGTAGTGCATATTCATGTATATTTGACTAGTTTAAGGATATCGAACAGGCATAGGAGTTATATGATTACTAAAATAAAGGGGGCTAAGGATTAGGTCCAAAACGCAACGACAATGGGGAGCCGGCATTTTATTACCTAGCATTCTGAGCCTTAATATCAATGAGCAATGACAAATAAATGCTGGTTCTGATGTAGTAATACGAAGTGTTAAAAAGGAGGCTTTAATTTTTAAGGTAAATTGAAGCTAGTTGCGAAAGTGGTTAGAAATGTAATAAATGTTAGATTGCATTTAAATGCTCGCTTTGCTAACATCACTGCATCAAAAAAATTAAAAGGCCAAATCAGTACCAAGTGTCAAAAAGGCATACATTAAAAGCCCCTTTTCTCTTAGTAAACAAGATATCAGGGAAGCTCGCCCTTTTTAGGAGCAAACGAAAAAAATTGATTTATAAAGCACACGTAATTAAAATTTTTACAATATTCCGTCTGCAGATTTAATTTTTTTGTTTGAATCTTTCATTTGAATTGACTTTGCGTGACCCACCAATCACCCTACGGCGCTATAGTCGGTATCCCAACGATGTCCGCGTCGAAATTGACAAATACCACTAGACGCTCAGCTCCAAACAAATCAAATGAAACGAGTAAAATGAGGCTACAGAAAAACAACAAAAAGTGGTTGCGTCTGGCTACCGTCTTTGTGTACGTCATCTCCGTTTCACTAGCGGCCATCGTCTTGGCCATCTACTACAGTATATTTTGGAAGCCTACCATAAGTAGTAATTCCTCCACGAAACCCTAATGCCACCTATGACAAATAACTAATCCTGCATTTCAATCTGTTCAGCGCTGCTTCTGACTGTCGTCTTGTTGAGCGTGCATCCGGTCCACCCCCCAAAATCATGTCCCACCTTCCTGTGATCCAGCTAGCGCTGCAGTAACCTTCACGAGGTTCTCAAATAAATCACGTCTACTCCCATCCTCTCGTTTTTTGTCTTCATTATCTCACGCCATCTAGGTGGTCACCGCAGAGACGCTCGCCTTCACACACATTTACTCCGCTGAATGAGTTTTTACCATCTGTGGATCTCTGTTTGCATCAGCTCACAGGAGGCCCCAGCCGACCCATCCTCGGTATCCCTCCCACGCGTCTATGCAGTACTTTAGTTGGTCATTTGTGGCAATCATACTTCTAGTTCTCTACCTGATTTTTGATACAACGGTTTGTAGCTTAGAACCCATAAGTCAACCTCTATGGTCATTTTTAACCATTTTTAGAGTCGATCATCCATGTGTCCTGGTGATGAGCATATCCCTTTGATATGACAGGTATATGTTTCAAATGTGTGATGTTTAATGGACTCTATCAAAATACAGAAAACCTGCCAAGAAAATAAAATTTGAGGTACAGGAAATCAGATAGTTATAAGAGGAACAGCAGCTGATAGTTGATCGTGAAGGATCATTGGCGAAGATAGGCGGGTGACTGGTAACGAAAACAGCTAAATAGAAAGTAATTCCTCCTATAAATATTGAGAGAGGTCAAATGCAATTCCAGTTTAACTCGTAATATAATGGGACTGGGCAAAACGTCCAACGACAGGACCCCGCAGTCGAGAGGAACAAGGGTATAGTGCAGTGAAGGTGTCAAAAAAAGACGTACATTGAACTTCATAACTTGACCATGGTTAAGGGGAACGGGATCGTTTTTCTTTCTCTAGAATGGGAGGAATTTTAATGTAGGTATGTATGCTCTGATGGAGAAACCTTCCAAAAATTTCTGCTAAAAGGGTGCGGTAATGAAAAAAAATATAGGATAAGACATTGCTTTAACGATAAGCCGGTGGCGTCAGATAAAGCTTTGGAATGGACAACAATTGCACGTCCGAATGCAACACAAACTCACAGTATTTACTCGGTGGGAGATTCCTCAGCCTAAAAAAGAATCCATTAAAGGGTAGAAAACAAGATTTGACTGCTTAATGTCCCCGTAAACTTTAAATGCAATTATGTAGTAAACAACCACTATTAATGTCTTTTCTATTCGAAATAGTTAAATATAGTAATAAATATGCAAACAGGGCTCTAATTGCTATCTCTTATTGTAAAAGTTAAAGCATAACATGCCCCGAGTGTATTGATAATAATGCAGTATCAAGCATGCCGTATTAATACCAATATTAAGTTCTGTTGTTATTATTATGAGCGAGAATGGATTATAATCAAGGAACGATAAACTAGATGAAAGTGGGAGACAAATGCCTGACCTTTATGCTGGTATCTTTACTGATGCTACTTTCCAAATGCCCTTCTTTGGTAATCCTCTCCACATTTCCAGCCGACATTTCAGGCTTCCCGGGTGTTACACTTTCTTCACTTAAATCTATCTCACCACTTATAATCGAAGCCTATATAAAAAAAAAATTAATAATGGAATAATCATGCTAAGTTTCAGTTAATAAATAACAAACGCAGGACTGTGTAAAAAGGCATCTGCCGACATACTGATGAATTGTGACTTTCATCAGCTGGGACTGATTCGAAGGACGTTTCACAGTCACCTGACTCTTGATTAGGCTGAGCATTCTATGGGTAAAAGTGGAACAGTGTCAATCCAGGAAAATGAATTTGGTGACTAATTTATTGCTGGGTCACGCAATCGACCCGAATGTCTCTGTTATCCTAATGGTTATCGTTGTTTCTCGTGTATCTATTGGATACTAAAGCATCGATTTATTGCAAACTCCAAAGTGCCAAGTCAGAAAAATTTGGAAGATAAAAACCCGAGAATGTCCCGCATGTAGGTGGTAAGAGATGTAGGAATATTTGCTGAGTTGATAGGAAAAATATAATCGCCTTACCCCATCCGATTCCTCGGGCGTTATGGGTCCAGAATGAGTTAAGTCATGCGTCTTTTCATTCTAAATTGGAAAGAAAAACGAGACAAATCTATTAACAAACTGACATCATATGCATCTAAACTTCCAGCAATACAAAGGCAATTATGCTAAATGAACCTTTGAAACAAATGCTAACCAGAGTTGAATTTCATTTGGTGCTGTAACTGTCATCTTTATAAGAGTTAAGGGATTGGGGGAGATTTTGGAGTTCAACAGTTTGCGCATCGAATAGTGGAGACGCGGTATCATTGCAAGGTTGACAAAACAGGTTGTATTTGAACAGAACTACTGATAATTTGCCAGTCAACAGTAAGGTAGGATTATCGTGTAAATATAGCGTGAGTACCCTACTGCTATTCCTTTATGCGAAAGCTGAGAGAATTGGCACGATCCCGCCTCTCCTAGAGCTGAAGTTTTTCACAGCGTCATGGAGTCAGGAAGAATTTAAAAAAAAAACCTTATGAAACTACCGGTTCTGAGTAAATAGTGAAAGTCAGCAGTGTATACGATTCCAACCGATACTATTACAGATGATGTTATAAATGACACCGATTGATGCACTTTATGCGAATTGTATTTACTGTGTGGCTTCAGAGTATCTAGGCCGAAGTTGTGATGGACTCGGTGCGAACACGAGATCAGAGCGATGGCCAACTTACCTGTATCGAACATGCTTCAGTTATTTCTGGGGGAGTTTCTGCCTGTGGCGTTTTCTACAGTGAAGGAATAAAAACATTTAAGAGGGATTCACTCCACATCGCTTACCCTACTCTATTTAAGGTGAGTTATCCTCTTATAAAACCCTAACAGTATCCAAAATAGGCGATGAAAAACGGACGGGAGGAAATGAAGCAATGCATTTCGATAATATGACATTATACATCTTCAGATGTTTTGGATTTTTCAGAACTTTCATGCGACAATTTCTGCAATAGAAAGAGGATCATCTGACGACAATTGTGGGATAAGTATTCGTGCGAAGCGCCAGGCTCCCAACTGAGTAAATATACTCGTTATGTGGCGGAAAATACTCGCTAAATGCAAATGGCTAAATGGAAATTTTACAGATATCAGTGATGTATACACGAGAAATTAGTTGGCTATGCAGTATTTCCATCAATCAGGATTACTTAATAGCCATATTTAAATCTAATTTGCTCCATATTATCACTGCAATTGCATGGAATTCGATGTAATCACAAGGAAATCAAACCAGTGTCCTCTAACTTACCCTTTTAGAATCGGCTTTGGTGAATTCCATAGGGGTATTTGTCTGTGACATTCTCTACACGGAAAGCACGAGGAAATGCATAAAAGGAATTATAGCTAGGGTTTATTACTATCAATTGTGTGAATTAAACTCAGAAAAGAAATGAAAATTAAGGAGGAAAACAGTAGACACAAATAACTTAGACAATGTGACATTGTACCTCTTCAGATATCTTGGACACTTCACTTTCGTGCAGTGGACCCTGTGGGGAAAAAGAAATTATTTGGGAACGATTTAAAGTTATCATAAAATTGGGTAGAGGAAGTTTTCAGGTTCCCAAGCCAGTATATCCCAGCTGCGAAAATCCGAACATAAAACTTGTAAACGCCGACAGCTGATGAACGCTGAACTAGAACAAATAGGGGTGTTCTCCCTCAAAACAGAGGACATCTGCGCTAAGAGTACACAGGATTCGAGACAATCACAGGAAGATTTAACTCGCGGACAGCAATCTTATCGACTAAATATCGCATTCAATCTTGGAGAAGTGTTAGCCGGTGACGTTTTGGCCACAATAAAGATGTCATGGAGGTCGTAAAATTACGGTTAGAGTAAAACTAGACCTTCCGTTAAACAAATTGAATCTACATTTATCGGTGAAAAGGTGCAAACATAAGTAAGCTAAACTAGTTTTGATAAATAAACTATCACGCTCCCTCAGGTTTTTGTGGAAGATTCCCCACATTCCTGCAGTCACTCCTATAAAAAGATGGGAATAGTGACGCGTTTGCCACCAAAGCTGGTGAGGAAAATCACCCGCCACTGCCCGAATATTGCATTGCTTAAATATGGCACCAATTGTTTTGTTCTTCTCTTACAATTCAATTAAACTCTTTTTAACTAAATGTCATTTGCGGTCTTCGGTGAGAAAATCAGGGCACCAAGTGTTAAAATGTATCTGCAAAGCTTTTGAAAAGTAACGAAGAAGATATTATCAAACTCCTGAATGAGAATGTGCAGAGAGATAAAGTTTGCCTAGCTGCAATCATCCGGACGGACGGGGAATCAACGTAGAAGCGCATCAACGGTAACGCCCAACTCGGGAGTGTACTTATGTTGACTACTGACAAACCATTTCAGCCTTACGAAAAAACCAGAAAAAACAAAATTCACCTGTCACTATGGTACATACTGAGTACACACCATTCTAAATTAAGAAGTCAAATTTTCAGTCCTGAATCATTTTTTTACACTTGTCACAAGCAGATTCAAAATGGAAAAGACTTCAATCCATAGGTTGAACGGGAAAAGCATACATCTGCCCCGTGTAGCATTTTTCGTTGCATTTAAGGTAGTTGCACGGATTTGTGGCTAAGCGACGCTGCTTATCGCAAGTACTAGTGTCGCATTCTTTGACCTCAATTCATCACTGCAGCAATCGATGAGCGCAATTCTCAATGCACAAATCGATGTGGATCGATAATAATGAGGTAAAGGGGAGCAGAATTGCTTTACCTCGTCACTTTGTTCAGATCTCCTAACAGAAGAACCTCGTTGCTGAAATTAATTTAAAACCAATGGAATGCATACTAGTTCTGGAGAGGTGAAATTTGAATGATGAAAGATTTTACACAAATGCTTCGAATACGAGTGCTCTTGTAAATTAGCCTGATACCTAAAGTATTCGACTGAAGGTTTTGGCCAACACTAGACAAAGCTTAATGCAAACCATGTTTGAAGGGATACGGCAACACTCTTAAGCAAACCTGAAATTCCTGTAAATCGTCAGAGGCTTGGGTCTCTTCTGAAGATTTTTGGGCTGACTCCTACGAAATTTGAAAAGTCAAATTGAAAGGCATTTTCAGGAACACATTGTAAAAGCCAGGGTAGAACCCAAACCTGTTTTGAAGGTCCAGATTCCGCAGACCCACGGCCTGTTTGCGAGACATTCTCCTGGGAAAGAAAGGGGACAGGGAGATTAGAATTACATTGAGGTTATGACAGTGAAGGGTTTAAAAAGATCAAAACTTGTCTCATTTAGTTTATCAAGCATAAAACGGAGCAAATATTAGTCCAAAAAAATCAACCTGGCCAAAAAATCGTATTAAATTGCACAATGGACCACATGAAAGCAAAAATATCTGGGTGCTAAGGCATGCATAAAAGGGCACCAGTAGCCACATCTCTGAAATTCAGTTTAGCATGTAAAACGAAATTGGGCTATCTTATAGGTATTACTAAAATCATTTTCCAGACGATTTATAAAGTTTTTTTCCCCAAAAAGTAACTCAAAAATTGATAAGTCCATTTAGGAGATTTTGATAGATTGTTATTTGAAACCATCGTTGACACACCAGTTGGAACAAGGGCTTGATGCCAAAGAATGTCAAGCTTTGCAAATGATAAATTAATTTAGCATAAATATTACTGTACACAATTATGTTGTAGCAAGAAAATTTCAATCAACTGCCAGTACATAGCAAAAATAAACCACTAGAGAGGGACCTGTGTGCAAAACTTGGATATCCAGACTTGAGGAAATGCTAGTCCTGTCATAAACTGACCCATAAGCACTTCGATTATCTAGCCTGTCAAATTCTGCCGATAAGTAAATGTGATGGTTCTTAGTAAACGAAATTAAAAAAAAAAACAGACACCTCAGCGGCAAATCTGTTTAACAGTAAAACTCATATTTTATAAGGATACGAAATACATCAAAAAAACACTCCGGCGAGGTGACTTGGCATTGATTAAACTAGATATGCCATTAGAAACTGCTAGGCAGTATTTGTTTATAGAGGTGGGTACGAAAAACAATCGACTACTACAAAGTGACATCACACATCCCGGGCTTACTAAGAGTTCGGACAATAACAATTCACGCGGGTTAACTCTGGAGATAATTAGCTACACGCGTGCGGGTTCAATCAAGATATACTCCTATGTGGTGCAGATCACTCAAAAGGTTTCGTGTTAATGGAAGGCAAAGATTGGTGATAACGTTAAACAGATCGGTAGCTGGATGAGCGGAAAGATTCAGCAGTTATGAGATTTACCCTCAGCTAAAAGTGATGCTAATTAATGCAAGTGATGCACTGCATTTGATATACAGTAAGACTGAAAAATTATTTAACGGATTTAAAACGCGTTCAATTATAAACGGAATTCTAAATTACTCTTGCAACGTAGTCAAGATTTATCGCAAAGAAAGCCAGGATGGTTACATCTTCAGAAATCTATGCACTTTCACACATATCCATGCCATAAATTGAGAAGCAGAATTTAGGAAGGAGCATCTAACTTTAAAAAATTGCGTCAACAAACCTCGGGTACTTCAACAGCTTCCAGCTCTTCATTTGATGACTCCGAGGTCTCTCCATCGGTATTACTTGTAGAACTAGCAGCTGGGGCTTCAAATGCATCCTTGCTGTCTCCTGTTTCCTCTTCCTCCTCCGATGAGTCCACCGTCTGATGGCAGAAAACAGAGAAGTTCAAAGTCAAAAGCTCAAACCATCAGTTAGTTTACAACTTCCGTATTGTAATTGACGTTATTTTAAGATTCATTTTTGCTGAAGTCGGCGAAATCAGCTTCCTCAACAGTTATTTTTCTAACACTATGAAACGAGTAAACCCAACAATACAAACTGTCTTTAAAGGTGAAACAAAACAACAGTAAAAAAACGCACCTCTTGATGTGGTTCAACCATAATACACAAGCCTCCGTCCATGTGCTCTTCCCTGCCATTCTCATGTCCAGAGTTTACATCTACAGGTTGATCATCGTCGACCTGTTCGGAAACGACATAAACAAGGTCATCTTTAGACCAAGAGGATATGGGCACAATCAAAATTGGATCTGAAATGAGTGGATCGGTCACAGTGAATGTCTGATTCATCATGCAGGAAGGGTGCATGTGAAGGAAGAGCAAGCGGAGTGAGATTTGTTTGATGTTAATAATCAGTGAACCCGCGTTGATTCACCAAAAAATACACGTATAGGAGGATATATGTATAAAGCAGTAATTAAAAGGCCCGCATGAATGTATGTAAGTGAAATTAATCAAGATAATAACACAATAAATGATTTTTAATAGTGATCACCGGCAGGATTCCCATGGCACAAGCAGCACAAGTGAACCAGGAGTTTGTGTCATTGACATTGACGTACGTTTTTTACAGTAAAGGGGTTCGAAATGAGAAGTGGGTAAAAAAATTTGAGTCACTTGGAAAAATAATGTACTAGCACTAAACAAAACTTTAATCAATATTCGAATAGGCTCAAGTGAAGAGACCAAAACAACGTGAGTTAAAAACAGACCTTTAGATCAACAGTAAGTTGGTATTGACCATCATCCGTTGAAGTGCTATCCTCAAGGTTTTCAGGGTTCCCATGTTCCCCAGCTCCAGGACCATTACCTAAAAGGAAACGAAGAAGAGTGGTAAAGAAAGTCCATCCTGTCAGATGAAGCCCTCATAAGTAAACAGCAATTCTTGCTACCTAAAAAAAAGCCGTGCACATCTACCAACAAATCCATCAAAATCAAAAAAGACAAGAGGACACAGTGATAATGCATGCAAAAATTTGCAGCGAAAACGCTTGTTGGACCAACCTCGGGTCAGTGGATATCAACAACTCCAGTCAATTCACCTTGAGTCTCATCCTTGCTTCCAAGGTGAACATCAGTGGCGCCTCGCCAGGCCCCGCCTCGACGAGACGACCTGGAACCGCGCATGTTACCTCTGCCATGGGGTCCACTGCGTGGTCTCTCACCGGTCTGGTTGTCTGAACGTCAATCATTCGCAATCTCAGTGTCAGCACAAAAGCAAAGCTCCTTACTGTGCGTCACAAGGGTGAAGTCTTTAAACATCGCATGTGAAATAATGCAACAACTTCTATTGTAGTTACAGCATGTTATCAGCTGCTTCCGTCACGTTTAGTGTGGGCACGAAAATACTCTGCCAAAAATGTCAACAGACAGCTGTATTGTTCTAAGCCAGACAAGTTGCTATCCACGACAAGCGAATGAGTGTAGTACAGGATACATTTAGATGTAGCGTCTTGACAGCACGCATATATGAAAGTGCATATGAAAATAGTTGTCAAGCCATTTAGTCCACTAAGCCAGCACAAATATGAGCGGCGCATTAAGCGGCAGGACTTTGAGCTAATGCACAAAAATAGAGGTAAAAGTGAATCACCATATGTGTTTATCCAAAGCCTATTCACGTATTTCACATACTTAAGTTAATGCGAACAATGGAATAGAAAAGTTGCAAGTGCAAGCCAGCTATGCATATGATCAGAGCTGCGAAGCATGACAACGGCCAATGGAGATACACTACAGCAACCCAAGTGCCTCCGAAACAAAAAAGTAGTCTTAACACTACTCCTGGCGCAGACATTCCATAAAGAGAACGCGATATCTTGGTATGCAAAGCTTTTACAATAAAAAATTCATGCAATGGTTTTACTTAGATTAATAGAATGGCTGAAAGTCATATGAAGAGTGTTTAAATCTGTTGACGTTAATTTAGAAAAAAACGACACCCAGATAAAATCATCGCCAACAAATAACTCTTAGGAATTGTAGCCATCGAATTGCAAATAAATATTTTGAAAACACAGCTTTAAAAGTCTACTTTGCAATCACTTAAATACAAGTCAGATGGTGTCACAAACGGGATGAGCACGATTTTCTATTTACGGTATTATGAGCTTTGTAAACTGTCAAGATCTGATGAGAAGCCAAAGAAGCAATGCCATACTAGCATAAGACTAACAATGAATGACAGAGCAAAATAGCCACCTCACATTCCCAGAAATCTTGACAGAATGGATCTAAGTGGACATAGGAGCTTCCTAATTGAAAACTAAGCAGGAATCTCCATAAAATAAAAAGGGGTTGAAAAATTCCAGAAATATACAAAATTCAAGGCTAATTTAGTATCAATTTAGCTGAGATGAATAATATGAACTGGGTATGAAAAGGGATACTTGTCCTCCATCTGATGCAGCAAAGCTTGTTCTTCTTTAACAAATTCAAAAGCAACTACGCTTGTTTATGGAATCGACATACCTCGATCATGAACAATTCCATTATCTGCAACTCGAAATGAAGCCGTCGTATCATCACCAGCACCACCTCTTCGACGCATTTTGCGGCCTCCATTGCTTAGCCCCCCACCACCACCACCGCGCCGAGCGCTAGAGCTTCGATTCCATTCACCCCTCCTTCCAATATTTCCGCATTGTACTGCTTTTGCTGTCAGGATGGGGAAATGAAAGCGGAACGGTACATAAGTCAAACAGATATCCAAATATAATGCAATATCTCATTTACAAGTACTAGGATAAGGAAATAAATAAATGAACAAGTAGGATTTGTATCTGCTCGAACACAGCTTCCAATTTCATGCATTGCAAGCTCAAAAAAACATCAAACTAAACACGCTCACCTAACATCTTGGTGCCATAACCTTTATCAACTTACAAAATATATTTTCGAAACCAAAAAAGTAAACTTGTATGCCAAAAATAGAAAACACCACTGACGCTGATGCTCATCCTGAAATCTAAAATCCGTTGGAATTCCAGAGGCATCGGGTTTCCAGTCCAGAGGCAACATCGAGGGCTCAGGAATATTAGCTAACCCCTCTCGGAATGAAAAAGACCGTTGCCTTCCTGATGTTTCAAAATGGTTTCGAGATCGACTAAAGGAGATCATATATGCCGTTTAAACAAGTAATTAATAACTGCTTTCGATTTCACAAAAGTGCTGGAACGTATGTTTACAAAAAAATTCAAACACCTCCATTGGTAATTACACCATTTTTTTCACGCGACAATGCGAACTACTATCGTAACTTTTTTGGTACCTAGTCGTTAATTTTGATGAAAGGTTAATAAGTCACGAAGACAAAGAAGATAATGATTACATTAACATACCTTGATGTGTCGGTAGGATGTCCATTGTTTACAGATTTGAAGTTGGACTTTAACGGTGGTTGTGGGTGGATGACACTGTGACCCCGGCGATAGATCAAAGAGGCATTCGAATTGCGGCACCGGTCATTGGACACTTGAATAATTAGCCCATCATTGTATCGAGTGAGATGGACTTTTCGCTCGCTTTCCGTCTCGTAAGAGAGGTTTTTGTATCCACCTCTAGGCCGGCGAGGCCCATCAAATCGACGAGGCTCCTCACCTTTGCTGTCTAGATGCCAGAAAAGTATTATCTTCATTACGATCATTGTGATAGAAACAATCTACCTTGAACTGTTAAACATGTGCAACACCAACGCCTTGTAGCACAGGTAGTATGCAACTAGCTGCCTTGTGATTTCGAAAATAAGTCAACAATACCATATTCGTGCCTGAGCAACTACTATTGCATGTGAATACGTAGAATCTACTAATGTGCAAAGTCTACAAAAAATGAAAACAATTCGCAGAAAATTATTTCATTGCAGATATTTACTACACCAAGCGCAATGCTAGGATTCCACATTTAATGTCATATTAACATTAGATATATGGAGTTTCAGCAGTAAAAATCGCAGGAAATTCAGCAAGCACATTACCAGTGGTTTGTCAATAGCCTGCAATTTATCTCAAGTCAAACACCAAAAATAATCCTACGGTAAGAGGTAACAAGTCGCGCACCCCCCACCCTGCGTCAATAACTTAGCTTCAAAAACAACGTGAAGAGTAACAAGGTATAACATATTTCAGTTGTATTTAGATTATTTTCGCTATCGGTTCGATAACAGATATCAGTTAACACGTTCTGATAAGATAGCAGCGACTACATTTACAAAACAGGGAACTTATTAAGATGAGTAGGAGCAGTTGGTCACGATGCAAATCCATCTGTGCTACCAAAGGTCACCGATGCTCGATTACATACGCCACAATATACTCGTAGTCAAAAAAACTGTGCCAAACCGGACACGCTGCATAATAAATACGATTCCGCTTTCGTCAGTTCCAACTTAAACTGATCCAAGACCACTAAAGCATTTGCAAGGGAAGGCTAATAACGAAAAGTATTATGATGAAAACTACTTTCTAATCCAAATGAAATTATTCCTCAACAGGAAATTTGCTGCTGCATTCTAGTTTCAGCTGTAAAAAATAAGATTCCACAATAAAATTAGGAAGCATACAGAGTTCCAAAGATGAACCAAACAATGTCCAAAGTGGAAGAGATACTCGCATTTATCCGATTATGTACAACAAAGGGATGTTCAATAAAATTCTGCCTAAACTTCCATAAAAACCTATCAGAAAGTGGGATAGGGAAAGATTATTGGAGAAATAAATGCATATTACGCACACCGCACAAGTGGGTAAGCAGTATTATTAAAAGCACCAGCTTAGGCTAATGCTATTAGAGCAAAAGATGAGTGGACAAAATGGAAACCTATGGGGGGCAAATCGAAAAAAGTACCAATTCAACAAAAATAGATGCGATTGATGTCAAAAATTTAACGAAAGCAACTACAAATATACTAATGAAGTTTGGACAAAAAAATGAAAAAGTGAAAGAAAACGTACCAAAACGAACGTCACCTCGTATTCGACTAAAAAGTTAAGACAGATAAATTGACGAAAATAAACATCCTCCACCATACAACTTCGGCAAATGGAAGCTTACGTTTCGGTCGTGTGACTTTTCGCGCGTTCTTCATGCCGGTATGATTTCATAATGTTGGAACCTGGAGCTTAAAAAGTACACTGCATCTTAAGTCAAATAAAGCACACAAAAGTGGTTCTCATAGGGTCAGAAGCCTCCAAACACCTAGGATACCTCAAGACACTAAGCTGAAGCAAACCAGACTCATCGATTATCATTAAATTCACGAAAAAATGCATAGAAAACTCGTTTATATGCATGTAGGAGTCCTTGACCCAACTAGCATTGGGAGCCAAGTGAGATAAGTATTGAGAAAAAACTCAATAGTTATGTTAACCACTAAGTATCGGAACACTACCGTCAGAGCCACCTGACTCCAGAAGAGGACAAGCAAGTACCAATTCAGCGTGTACATTTAAATGAAACAATTTAAGATAAGCAAAAAATGGTAAAAAGTCTAATTACATATGTAAGTATGGCGATAATAACGAATGGTGTGAAAACATACGAACAAAGAACCGGTGCACTAACTGTAAAGAAGACCAAAAGTGGTAGAAAATACAGCGAAGTAGGAGAATGACTCAAGCAAAGTGCTCATAAAACTTATAAATCCCAAGGCGCAGTAGCTAGCCTCCTTTTACGTTTAGTGCACTAAAATTAAGTAAATTAAGCAGGGACGGTTTCGAACGGGGAGCCACTCCAATTTTACGAGTGAGAGTAAAAAAACCAATGGGTAAGAGGAATATATGAGGTTTCCCAGCAGGTATGTTCACAAATTACCCAAAATATACTGGTTTCGAAAGGCCGCGAATAATCTAGGCAATGCAAACCGAGGAACACAAAAATAAGTAAAAATTTCGGTGCAATAATAGGCTAAAAGCAAAACAAGTTATAGTGACGTTAGGTGAGACAACAACTATCACTAACATTCAGCCGCTTTAAATTTGGTTTGGAAAAGACAAACGCAGCCAAAAATCGCAGAACAAAGCATAACAAGGCCATCAAAATGGAAAGACAACATTTTAACAGCCATCGCCAACTTGACCAATCAAAATCCGGTACTATAGACCTTGTAATTATAGTGGTTTCGGAGGCCTACTCGACGCGAATTAGGGAGTTATGTGCCAAACAATGCTTACAGTATAATTGGAGATGCACTTAAATTTTGAGTATTTTTTCCCCTTTAATATTTTATTCACTGCAATATTAGTTTAGACCTCTCACATAATTTCGGATAATGGATAGTGTGTAATGCTACATGACAGCGCGCAGAAGGCTTTTGATAAGTGGTTAAATAGCGCAGAGCAAGGATAACTTTGCTAGTGGGTGGACTTTGGTGCCTTTAAATGCTCCAGCTTACCCCGATGGGAAAAAGAAGTCCAACTGGACAAAACCACCGCTTTTGTTTCACATTGCCAAGACTGCAGTAATCCTGGACGCGATAACTCGCGGCTTGAAAGGTTATAGAGAAACCTGACTCAACGATAGATATGCATCACGATAGGCGATAAACGCCGGCTCCTACGATCATGCGAACTGACCACAACCTACGATACGGCAAACTCGGGCATCCATGTAGTCGCATGAGGTCGCCATACCACGCTGGGGGAAACATATCTGACAGGAATCCTAGAAGGCCGCTAATGCGGTCCAAAACCCGTACCACCGACCGAGAATGTAAACCGTAAAAATCTAAGCGCCCGCAGAGCCAGAGCCAAGAAAATTGTCGACGCACAACAACACAAGAGCGCAGGGGAAGCCAACCTGCTGCAAACGTCACCAGAATGACTCAATTGTCCGCCCAAGCCATTCCCAAACATTAGCGAGTGCAACGCATGTTAAGTGCGACTTCCCTCAAGGAACATCCACTTATGTGCGGATATGATGCCGGAATCGAAGGTAAGAACGCATTGACGGAGAGGCAACGTGGGGTACGGAATGCATCAAATTTATCAGCCTCTAAAAATCAGTAGATACCTCAATACATTTTAATGGTCCCAAAGCTATTCCACAGTTGACCATTAAGGTCCGGAACTTTAAAAAAAAGATGTGGTATTCAAAAGAGGGGTATGAGGTTCGACACAGAAAGCCTAGAATCCAAATTAGTAGTCGTTTGGCGATAAATTCTTCAAATAATATGCACGACTTCACAAGAGGTAAGCCTCAAGATCCGTGCATCTCTGTTTTCTCGTCCACTAACTTACTCCGCAGCCTTTCATCCAGATCCCTCTTATATTCCCAATATGGTACTTTGTCAGAAACACTCATGGACACATTCCTAGTTTGACAAATAAGGCTGAAAACAAAATCCAACAATTAAAAATGTCCCGTACTTTGCTAATGATCCCGCAAATAAACCAGCCATAATCGACATAGCAACTGCATTCTTTGCATTAGCTAAAAAATAAGCACAATATTCAGCATACCCCTTAGAATGAAGTCAAATGTCCCAACTGCGGAACCAACGGATATCCCGGATAGGAAGGTAAATTTGCCGCAACCCCTGCCCATTATCCCGCGCGGCTAACACCGAACCATCCCAAACAAAACTTCTGTTTCTATTGATTACAGGTGAAAAGTGGTAAGCAGCTATATCCGTAAGACGTTGCTTTAAAGCTAATACATTTTAGTGAATTGTGTGGTGTATAATTATTTCTAACTACTACAGTCTAATTACTGAGCTAAGCAGCCATTTGATCAGATTTCTATGTAGTAACAACAATTGTTTTTCAAAGTTTGTAGAAAAACTTTCACATTTTTTAGTTACTGTATTTTTCTTTTTTTCATTTGGTTTAGTAATAAACTTTTTAGGCAATCTCGTGGGAAAGGAAAGCTTTCACAAGCTCTGTAGAATTTTTATTTTTCCTATATATTCGTCTCAAGGCGACTGACGTATACAAATTTCTACGTCTCCTTCCATTGGTCTGTTTAATTCCTGCATCTAAAAGGGGTGTAGTTTGGATGACTCACCGCACCTTTGGGGGTGGTCGAGTAGGTTGCCTTTTCAAGGAAAAATTGGTAAATTTATTTGTTTCGTGACTGACTGTTATTTTATCTTCCTTCTTTATTCCTTGTTGGTTCTTTCATGCACGGCGGCCTGATTAGCCTTCAGTACAATTGCTGGGCTTGTAAAAACTTAACATCCCATGCAATTTTATTTTGCTTAGTTGAATGTGTAGGTTTAAGATGTTAAAGGTAGATAACTGCACCTTTTAAGGCAATTTGTTTTCGAGTCAGCGCTCTCCTTTAGACGAGTGTGTAGACCATTTCAAATGCTGGGATGCATTTTTCACTAATGGTCAGTATTTGTACGCACCCGTTTATGTTTTTCCTGTGTGAAATGTGTAAGTTTTGTCTTTAGATTTCTCCGTCCTTGTATAAAGTTTTAGACTTAGTATAATTGGTTTTTAATAACGTAATCGTCTCGCACTTAATTTTTTTTGCAGATTTTCCAATTGTGCGAATTCCTTATACATTTAAAGTCTTGTACAATCTTTGCATAATGCTTTGGAAGCTGTAATCTGAAGTCGTAGAATCACTAATTCTGAAACCGTTTTACTTTCAGCCCGAGGATCGCTTCGAGGATTTCACAAATGCCACTCCATGGGAGAAGTGACTGCTGTTTTTACCTATTATCTTCGTTGTTATTCTAGATTTAATACAAAGCTCCAAATCATCTTACTGGATTGGCAAAAATCATCCAAGGATTCTCTGGTAGGTCTTTACGTAAACTGATTCACTGTAGTAGGAATTAATAAATTGATCCCTTTCCTTAAGCTATTAACTTAGCGATAACCATTGGATTTCATTTAGCTACATATTTTGGCTTTTCACGAACCTTGTCTCTGTCCGAAATTATGTTTGTTGTTGCGTCGTTTAACTACCCTTCTTACTTGCTGCTGATAATTGTTACTGTTAGGTGATCTCGGAGCCCATCTCATCAGTCCGATGTTCAGTTGCCAGCTTTGATACATTTGAATTTAAAGTGGAACACTTCATTGTCCACTCGGTCGCATCAACAAGTATGTTGCATGTATCTATTTTGTATGTGACATTTTCATCCCCTAGATAGAGTTGTTATTAATTGGTGCCATAATTTGCGATTCCACTGGTGAATTAAGAATTACTCGTCGGCAGAATAACCATTTGCCCCTACTTTAGCATATTAGGATTGGGCATCTTAAACACGTCTTTTTCATTCAGGCCCTTTAAAGGCGGCTTGATTTGCATTGGAGTAATTTCTAAACCATATCTTTATTTACAGTTTTAATACAAAGTGGTTAAATTTAAAGATCGAATAGTCCAACCGTAGTCTTCTTTTACTATTCATTATTTAGTTCTACTTATATTGTAAATGACGAAGTGAAGCACTTTCAACTATGATTCGCCTGAGTATTTTCGTTCACCGGCCCCACAAAGAGATGTTGGCACTTATGTGCTTTCTTGCCATAGCTGATATCCATCGTAAATAAAATAGGTATTTGTAACATTGCATTTGACTTTCGATTCTTCTAAATAACTTAATTCCTTCATCTCTAATTTCACTTCAGAGTACCTGGATAATGAGCTGACTAGGGTTCTCCTTGTTGCATCTTCGTAAGTCACCCCATATTATCGTGTTGACACTTCGTTATGGTTATGAACGGTACCATCTCCATTCACAGCTACGATCTTGACGAATTCATTTTGATCTCTCCGGCTGATCCCAAGGCTCGTCGATTGGTTGGAACTACCCGTATTAGATTGCTATTGAGTTCTATTGAGATGGCTCTTGCCGCATCTGCTTGGTGGGTCAATAACTAAACCCCTTTATTTCCTTTAGCAATGGCTTATTATATTTCATAAGCTTAAATAAATTTAGAGGACTATCACTTCGATTCTTTTGAAGATGATGTATGGTGTTAAGGAAATAGCAGATTGTTTTTTGCCTTTTGTTACATTCACTTCTCTGGTCGAATTCCCTAAATGGATATTGCCCGCGAAGACAAGAAATGTCGGTAAAGTAAAACTGGGGTCCTGGATTTAATTGATAGAAATATGAAGAGCTGTCGTAGTGGTACTATACGCGGTATTTCTTTGCCTTATCTTTGTTACCCGACTTCATGCCCTGGACCAATCCGGACACTTTAAATCGAGGTACCAGGCAACTGGTTATGCTTGCGCGGAATGAAGAGTGGTGATTAGATTTATCATGGACAACGACGTAATAATCACTCCCTCATCTACTAAAGTCTTCAAGCACAATTTGTGTGACGACGAGACGGCTGAAGTAAAACAGCTTATTTGCATCGACATTTCAAGGATGGCGATGTTTCTGTCAGTGGTGTTCTTGGCCATGGTCGTTTGGGAACGAGTGAAGGGGTTTCACGAATATTCGATGTATGGGAGCGCCTTATGGACACGAAACGTGTCGTAAAGTTGCACAAGTTGAGAATCCTCCTGGGGACGGTGGATAAACTCACTAAAGAGTGTGTGCATTTTTGGAAAGTTACCCCACACTGGACATCAAGACAATCCGCAGTTTTTTATCAGCACAGAAAAGTTGAGCGACGAGATGTAGCAGAATATTCTCCGATGGAACAGCCGTAGTAGTAAATCCTGCTGCGTTGAAGTTGCCCTTCAGGTACTGGTTAAACGTTGAGATGAGTGTGTAAAGGTACCAGGGGACTATTATAAACAAAAAGAGTTCTCAATCCCTTAAATCTTCTCTTTTTATAAATTCAAAAGCCTTATTTTGACTTAATATGAATCTTTCCTTAAGTTGGGCGTTGGCGGTTGGGAGTCATTAAATGGACACGTCGTAAAACTTGAGATCACTGTCGAACCCAAGACTTGTGCTGGCACAATTTTACCGGTTTCTTTATTATTCTGTGTCTACTGTGCTACAAGCATATCACATTTATTTCTTGAATCCAATGCATCTTCCTTGAATTCATTACTCCTAAGTTTGTTAAATCGTGACTGTTTGGTGTGACGTTTTCTTAGCTTGTTCTATTGAGTTTGCGAATTTTTTTTCTCTTGTGAAACTGCTAACTTGAGCCTCGTAATCAAGTAGAAACATTGTGCATCTACTCGATCACAAATACGTTACCAAACACATTTCACTCTTATTTTGCCACTAGTGAACTACCATTGTTGGTCTCTTACGGAAATGACAAGCTCTACTACGGGTTGCGCTTGTCCCGTGGTGGTTCTGCCACGAACCTATCTCCTTCCGAGGTCTTTGTGCCCGATTCGGGGCTGAAAAAAATCGAATACGCCATGTCTCTGACCTCGCTACCCCACAAGAAGACTCATCTGGTCGGGCTTCGTGACATCTTTCTCGAGAAGGTGGTACGTTTGGCATTTACTCGTATTCGATATATATCCTTATTGTGCTACTGATGCTATCTGGTTTCTTGTGCTATTTCTTCTTATCTGCATGCAACTGATTTCTGTTTGCTGTCACTGTTTCTGGGCTGTATCGCCACGGTTATTTTCACTTTCCCGTGTTTTGCTATGCATTGTGCGCACGTTACCAAATTTCGGTTGTTCATGTGATAACTCATGTGGAAATTGCTCATCACACTTTGTTGAACGGTTACCTGGACGCATTTGTAGTCTTAAACACTCTGGGTATTCCCCTCAATCTCTTTTTTATAATCTTAGATCTAACAATAATTTTTTTGGCCTTTGTCTGGTTTCCGGTTTTTGGGAGATCAGTCGAATTTGTGGAATTTGGTGTCCTGTTGTCCCCAATCTTTATGGTATACCAGATGAGGCTGTCGTGTATAGTATCGTAGTTTCCTTCAAAATGGGGCACTGTTTTATTACTTTTGATATTTTTTTAACTATTATATCATAAAGTTTTGGATTGAAACTCCTCAGTAAATTAATGCTTTTTTGATAGAATTATTTAGTAATTCAAATTATCAAATTTCACCCCAGCGTTGTACTATGATTTCTGGCGATTAGGAGATGTAAGGCGTAGTGTGTTTCGCATAACGGTGAAAAGCGTGTTGCTAAAATTTGCTCATGCGTTTTAGGGGTCCTGTGAAGAAACACCTAATGTTTCTGTTCTCCAGTATTTTCGCATGGTCAAGCTGAAGTTCCAGTGTTCATCTCATTCACATACAGGTGCGTATTTTCTTCGAATTCGCTGAAATGCTACATCCTTTCTTCTGTGATAATTTCATTCAAACTGTGCGCTCCATTTTTTTCCATAGGTTAGATATTTCGTCCCTCTTGAACAAGTACCCCCCTGTTACATGGGCACACCCTTACTTAAGTTTTGCTTTATAGATGCCAATGCGAGATTTGTTTTTTCACCTGAGCAAGTATTTTCTGAAGTCTCACTTAATATGTGAGTCCTGTGAAGGCAATTTTGCATGTTTTTTTTTCGGCTTTAAGTATTGTGCAACATTCAAAATTTTTCCGAATTTATCAGTTTGAGAGCAATGCAGTCGCAATTTTATGTTGTTACTTAAGGTAAAGGAAGTTCGGTAGTGGTTTTGATAGAGCATAATTATTATCCAAGCTTGTTCTTTTCATTACAATTTATTTTAACTCATTCCACTTTCGGCGTTGAATTGCAGAGAAATAAACCTGCTTGCAGATGCTCCCAACTTGCACTCCCATGCGATCAACGATGATCCTGAATTTCGGCAAGTTTTGCTCGTGCCACTTGCTAAACTTCAATTTTGTTCAAATCTTCGCCTCCGAGAACTTTCTCTTGACAGTTTGGCCCCATACTCCAGCGGCTTTATTATAGACCACTTAGTTGTCAACTTATTTGGCATTGGGGCATAGCTGTTTCATAGTTGGATCTAATTGCCCAAATCGCATGTGCACTTGAGCCAAACCAACTGCTCGTTTATGCACGAGGCAATGTTTGGGGTAAAGGCGAGTGGCAAAATCCAAAAATCTCATTATGTTATTTTACTTTTAGTCTAGTAAATCTTACTCCAATAGAATGGTCCGTGGATTGTGTGCTTGCTGAAGTAGAACAGTGCTTACTCGGCGAGTTATCTTTGCAGATTCTAATTTATTAAAAAATTCAAATATTTATTGTGCACATGATGCTTACGTAGCTCAGGCTGATGACGCTTGCTTGCATTATCATTATCATCTGTAATGTTGGCCAGTTTTTTTCTCCAATAGATGCTGTATACCATGTGATCACACGAGCCTTGGACATCAGTAAGTGGATTTTCGCCCTACCTTTTTACTTCTCCGAATGCGATTTTACATCCTATTGATGTGATCCGAATTAAGTGTTGACGTGTGATGAAAGATTGTATTTAGCTACACTCGTCGACTCCCACTTTTTATTCAAGTGATTCAATAGCCCTTAATATGATGCGTTTCCTTGCATTTATTACTTCCTTTGGATAAAATTATTCACAATTCAGCCCCAAGTCCTTATGATTCTTTTTAGCTAGTTTGCCAACGAATACGGAGACTCCTCCACCCGAGATGTTATGCTCTGACGGCATGGTGAGTCTGACTTGTCGTCATTGTACAGTGCTATTGACAACGTCCCCACCCTAATGCCTTTTTTTAGAAATCGTTGCTCGATGCATCAGCTGCTATGCCTGGCATGCCAGCGGCGTATTTGTCGCCTGAAGTCCCGTCTTCGGAGGCACTGGATGATGTGGGTTATAGAATTTTTCTAATGGTTATGCTAAACTATACTGTTACTGTTTGAAAAATGTTTGTCTTTCCCTCTACTTCTTACTATGTTTGAAGCCTTGGAAACTCGAATGCTAAAAAATACACGCATTGTGGATTATGTTTTTTTTTATTATTACATTATATATCACTTTCTCTGAGCATTTAATCTTAAACATTACACACAGAGAGGTTAATTTGCGGCATTGCGGGTTGTCATGCACCACAAGGGATGCGACTGCTGTCTACGGATTAATGTAAACGTTTCGATCTGGGAACGTTGGGTATGTGTCAGTAGTACTTATATCATCATGTATTTAAAGCCTCCCTGGTTCCAATGGAGGGGTTTCACTTTTATTTTGTGTTTTGTGTGGAGAAGTTGATGTAACAAAAAAACCCTTTTAAAGTGACCTAGATGTTTCACACAGAGAACGTGCGTTTCATTTATAGACTTGGGCGTTTTGTGTACTTATAGACCCGGCCCAAACACAATGCGTTTTCTCAGTAAAAAAGTCTTCATCTATTAAATGACCCCAATTCAAAATAGTTGGATGAACATGACCAACCTCAATAGGATCTAAAGTCGGTCTTTGCCGAAGAAAGTGTTGCTCTTTTTGGGGATCCTGACTGCAGAAGCATTGTAAATCATTTACTTGGTGCCTATGTTGGGGATCGTGGGTTATTGCGGAGACTGCGCGGTTGTGATCTTTTCCTATTTTCGTGAGGCACTACAAACCACACAATATCCAGAATGACCAGTGAGGAATTCATGAAGTGATTTTTAGTGCTTATCAAATCCGAGACTTGCTCATTGAAGACGATGATTCTTTATGGAACGCTTGATGGTATTTTTGTGCCTTATAGCACCTGACTAGAACCCTGGGATGTCGTTATACAGGCGCGGCCATACACACTTTGTTAATTGCCCTGCATCTTCTGATTCTGCGCCTCCGTTCGACCGACTTTCTGACAGCTATCGCTGGCGCCTGGTATGGCTTCCTCAGCCACCTTCGCTGCACTCCCAACTGTGAACTCTTTCCCATTCCCAATGTTGGGGAATGTTCCAGTCCTGTTTCATCAATCGATCAGGCCCTTTACATCCTCTGTCAGCATCCAAGTTAGTTCCCTTTCATATCACTCCTAACTTGTTTATTTTCCCACTGTTTCTCTATCCCCAAACAGACTTTGACTTTAAACGGCAAACTCAATCCACTGCTGAACACCGTCAAATGTTAAAATGCTTTTATTGTCTTATGGGGGTGTCCTTGAGAATTGAAAAATAAAATAACCTTCTATTATACACTGATATTTGTATTGAATTCCTTATTGGGAATTAGCGTCAAAAGTAGAAAATAAAGTGGGGTGGTTTTCTTTCTGAGGCGCTTTATCCTTTTGATTCCTGATGCCTATAATCCTTTTGTTACAGAATCCGCATCATCAGGCCTCACTTCCATGAAAGACAGTGAAGAAGAATTCTTTGACGCTTTGGAGGACCAAGTAGTACACCATGCAGGTAACGCGCCACTCATCGGCTCTTTGCTGCTACTATTGTTTCTTACCGTTCCTACGCCGGGACATAATCTGAGTGTCTAGTATTTTTTAAACCCGCGTTTCAGTCATCTCTGTATTTTGAATATCGTTACTATCTTGGGGATTTGTTAGGAAAACCAGCATCATTTGCCTCTGTGCAGGTCCCACGGCCCAATACTGCGCAGTGTGTCGTAGCGTTTTTGAGGAATTGGAGAGCGCGTCGCCCTCCTCAATCGCTAAATGGATTGCGCCCTACGTTCTTGCTCACCACATCAGTTTATTCCATCGTTTCGGTGTGTTTGACTAGTATTAAATGCCTTTAATAAATACGATAGCACATGTAAGCCTGGTGTATCTCATCCTCCTCTTATTTTTAATAAAAGTAAATACGATCGCATTCATCTGCACGTTTTTTTGCATTGCGTCTGATTTTTG